ACTTAGTTCCACAAAAGTAAGAATGCAGCCAGTAGAGCGGAGTTTATTAGGAAAGAGGAGGAGTTGAAACCAGAGGGAGAAAAGAGAAGAATGCTGAGAATGGCCCATGTTCTAGAGAATTCCCCAGCATCACCTTCCGTCTCCTGTTCACAGTTTTCTGTCTAAAGAAGGGAAACATCTGTTGCCTTTGTTCACAGCTCATGCCTAATGTGTAGTTTGTGTATTTTTTAAGTGACAGGCTTTTGTTCTTTGGAGTCTCTAATATCTTTTTCTGTAATCCCTCTGTTCTATTGGCCTTGCTTGAAGGAGTCGCAAGCACACAAAAAGCACATAAAGTGATACTTTGAATTGTCAGAGAATGAATAAGGCCTTCTTACCATTCATTCACTTTATAAAAAGCGTATGGTGCTTTCCCCTTGGTGACAGTATTAACCAGTGACATCTTTTATATAGATTTCATATTGTGCATTCACCCCAACCTTTTGGGGAAAATTTTGTGACTAGAAACCTAGTTGGGTCATATTAATAGCTTATTTAAGGTATTATTTCTTAGTGATCAACTTTCTGTCAGAGATGCCTGTTTTTGATCAACCTCTAGGAATTTAGATACAGTTAATTTATTATATGTGTATATAGTGTTTTATCACTGGATTTCCTAATAAAATGAAGTGCAGATAAAGTATTCATTTTGTTAGCAGAGCAGCAGAAGAAAAAGATAATATGAGAAATGATAGGGGGCGGAGGGAAGGGAGGAGGAGAAAAAGAGACTAAAATAGTTGGCTACTGTGCCTTGTGACTCTGTATATGTTTGTCTTGATCTTGAGAATTGAAACTGGGTTTCTGACTTTGACCACCACAGTTTTATCTTGACCCACAAATGCAAATTATGACCTGATCACTTGACCTGTTTGGTTAAGTATACGCTTTGTCTTTTCCTTCCAAGGAAACTGTAATGATATTGTTATAGAGCAACCCCGATATTAAACGGGTTCCTGGCTGTGGGTCCTCACCCGTGCGCCCCCATCCTCAGGTCCCAGCCACCTTCCCTTTGGTGGTAATGGGATTTGGAGTTCCCAGTGTCTTTGGCTTTGACCTGGGGTGGGGGTGGAGTCCACAAAGCCTATATAAATATGTCCCTTTCCCCACCCCCACCCCCACAATCAGACTTGCTGTAAATATTCTCCCACACATCCCTTTGGTGAAGAATTATTGGACCTAAGCCAGTTTATTATTTCAGATCTTATTTTGCAGCCCTGCACATTGTTTATAATGAGAAATCTTTCCAATTCTATGTAACCTAAAGGAGATCTGCTCAGTTCTGGAATCCTTTATATAAAATACAGGTGGTCAGGCGAAGTATTAAATTGGAAAATCATTCACTGTTTAGAATAAAAAGAGGAAAACTTGTTTCTCTTGGTCTTTACGCAGAATTGCTGTTCAATTCAAATGATCAAATAGACATATTCGAAGAACCTAACATCTTGACTTGGGCTATAGATTAGGTATACCCCTTCAGAGTACTGTATAATATGTGTATGTATAATATGTGTATTATTATGCTTTATTTCACAGTAGCCTGTTTGTATGCCTTTGTCTCCCCCCATACACACCCCTAGTCTTAAACTATGAGCTCTGATAGGATGAAGACTGTGTGCCACTCTGCCTGCCACATAGTGGGGTGCCAGAGTAAATATTTAAGTAAATATATTAATTTCTTAAAGGAAAATTAAACTAGTAGTTAACTGTCAATCCTGTTAGACCCAACCTCCTTGGTTGGCTTTTTCACCCACAATATTTTAGCATTTTAATACAAATTTTTAGCAGTAAGTGTCATTCAAATTCAGGTAGTATAATTTAACTAGGAAACATATTTCTCAAATTGGGTCATTGCCCTATAAGCCTAATTAGAGTCTGATTTCTAAAAATGAAAAGAACTAGAGTTAGCATAGTTCATTCCTATGGGCCTCAAGCTTCGCCCTAATCTGCCCAGTCCTCTTAGTTCCCTGTTTAACATTTAAGCAATCCCATTCATTCAGCATTAAATGCACTGAGCTTCTGTGGTGTGCAGACACTGTAACAGGAACACATAATTTGGTAGAAGAGATAGCTATGTAAATAAAGGACTATGGTATAAGGGCTATCACTACCATTATCACAGTAGGTGCTGTGTGAAATGCAAATCTAAGAGGTGGGGCTGTTAGGGAAAGTTTCTCATAGAAAGTGACATTTGAGCATAGTCTTGAAGGATGAAGAGTTTAGATTTGAGGGTAGGGGATAAGCATATGAGCACACATGGAAAGGGATCAACAGATGGGCTAAGTGTATGGACAGAAATGGCAAATGATCAAAGGCAAAAGACAGACCTGAAAGAAGTTTGAATCTAACCTGGAGGCCAAAGGGGAAAAAGACATTTTTAAATTTTAAACAAAATAACATAATCCTACTGTTTTCCACCTCTGTCTTTTAGGGACTTTCTGACTTTGTTTTTCCCCTATCATTACTGCTTTCCCTGCTAATGCTTTATGCCTGGCTAATGCACTTGGTTCGAGGAGTAAAATGGTCTTAGGTTGCAGTTTGGAATATCCTGAAACTCCCAGGAAGTTTGCTCCTCCTCCCAACCCCCCTCCCAAAAATTATGTGCCATGGCTGGACACTGTAACCCTAATCCCATCTTGTTACCTAACCAATTAACAATGTGAACATCTCAGTGCTTTCTTATTGTTAAAAAGGAAAATAAAGTGACATCAGCATAAAAGATAAAATACTCCACAACCATATTATACTCATTTTGCAAAATGAGGGTGGGCTGTTCATATGAATGCAACTGAATTTGCACACTCTGAATACTTTTTGCCTTTACCCCTTTTAGGCTTTCATCTTCTATATCTACATGATAAATGGGCACACTAGACCTGAGGTCAAGAAGAGCCTCTATGAGGCCACCACAGTGTACCCAGAATTGCTATTCATTTTTGACCCATTGCAATGTACACACAGTTGTACGATTGATTGTGCATGGGGTCTTGGCAAGTCTCACAATAAGCCATTCTTTGGAATTTTACAAAGATGTCATTCCTGGCACCAAACTGAAAATCAGATGTGCTCAACCCATCATTTTCCATTTACGAATCATTTTAGGTTGGAAATTAATTGGTGAACAGCATCCCACTTTTTTAAAATTGCTCCTCTTCCCAAACCCCCTCCCAAAAAAAAATTATGTGCCATGGCTGGACATTGTAACCCTAATCCCACCTTGTTACCTAACCAGTTAACAGTGTAGCAGATGGTAGACATGCATACTACCTGAATGTCTCAAGCCTTGATGCTTATTCATCCTCATGGGTCCTTTAGTGAAGCCAGCTGCAGAAGGTGTGGGAGGCAAGCAAGCCACTCCTGGGAAAACCCAGGGTTCATTTGATTCATTGCTGCCACCTGCTGGGCCTGACTGCTGGAATGGGAAGGCTGCTCAAGCTAGCCCTTCAGAGCTGCACTAGGAACTTGTGTGTAGTTCCAGTGCTAATCAGCTGTTGTTTCTAAGTGCCAGCCTTCTCCATAAATGAAGAGTTTAAACTGTAGAGCATTTTACTGATCAATGTAAGGTGGTATTGGTTACCACACAGTCTCCAGCAGTGGGGGAGCCTCAAAAACTAAGCAATAGACTGAAGGCTGGAGGATCCTAGAGTGTAAAGAACTGAGAACCCTCAAATCACAGTCACTGGGGGCTTGTGAAAATGCAAATTCCTGGCCCCAGAGGTTTTGTTTCACTAAGTTTAAGGTGGTACTTATTTAACAACTGGTTCTTTGAAAAATACACATGAAGATTATTATTAAATTAGTTTTTCTAAATTAATGATTAATTTTTCTCTTCCGAGAAGAAAGTACTGTAATTTATCTTGGTCATCTTATAGTGGAATGCTTTTTTTTTTGGCTTTGGGCACTGGCAATCAAAGGTGAGGTTTAGTATTAGTTTATCTTTTTTTTTTTTAAAGATTTATTTGTATTTATTTATGCATACAAGAAAGGGGTGTAGGCCAGAGGTGCAGGGGGTGAGAGGATTCATCAAAGACAGAGTGGGGAGCAGAACAGGCAGATCTACTGAAATACAGTGCTGAGGGGAGCAGCATGTGAGACAGGAGAGGTCTGCTGCGCCATGTGGGTCACCTCTCTGGCCGGGAATCGAACTCGTCCTGCAGTGGCTGCCAATAGGTTGATAGTGCTGAAACTTAACTCCTTGAGCCATAGGGGGGAGGGGAGGAGCCTAGTATTAGTTTTATTGCAGCTGTCATTTGCATGAATATAGTAATCATTTGGTAAATAATGTCTAGTGAACTTTCAGGGATCAAAATGCAAAGTTCTTTCCTCCTCCATTAATCCCCTAAGAACTGTGGCAGTCCTGTCATTTATCCCTCATCACCAAGCCCGACCAAGATGCAAATGATAGTAAACACAAACAGTAACTTCTGTGTCATTCAGGAAAACTAAGTGGTTCGACAGCTCTACCTTAGAACAGAGAATTCTGGAGACCTGTTATCAACTTGCTTAGTAGAATATTACTGTCCCAAAATATTGTCTTTGTTGTATATGCTACTGCTTCTGAAATGATAGGTTCCCATCCAGCAAAGACCCTATCTAACTGTGAATTGAGTGAGGCTACAGGACTCACGGGCACATTACACCTGGCATATGGTAACATCTTAGTAGACATTGGACTCGAGTAATTTTTTATTGTGTATTTTCACTTCAACTTTTTTAAGCTCCCAAGTTGCTGGCATTCAGAGCGTCCAACCCCTTTAATGCCAACAGTCTAGTTATATAATGCAGTTGTTGTGTGTTGCATGTATAGGACCAAAAACCAGTTCCCTGATCTTCACCTAGAAGAATCTTGTTGAACTTTTAAGATCATAGTTTTTATTATTTGTAAATGTACTTTGGCCTATTGTTTTATTTAAATTTAGTTTCCTGCCTTCATAATCTCATATATTTGTTTTTTTCTTTTTTAGACCTACCTGAAGGAAATCTTAAATGAAATTGGTACTCAGAATGTAAAAGGGATCCACAAAAACACATGGGAACTCAAGCCAGAGTACAGACATTATCAAGTAGAAGAAAAGAATGACTAAGGAGACTAAACCAGCTTGCTAACAGAACGACTAAAGAATGATGTGCTAAGCAAAGAGCACTGATACTTGAATTCATAAGCACCATCTGTTATAGGGTAAAATGACTGATACTTTCATTGTCTGACTAAATTGTTTAAACCAGTAATTCTTGTAAAGTTACTTAATGTTTTTGGAGAAGAAAAAACATTTATTATAGACTTAACCTGTATTAAAACAGATTATTCATAATGGAATTAGGGATTGAAGGATTAGAAGGGTTTTTCTTTTTAAATACTAACTTTTAAAATGTAAAATTAGGGAATATTTTCCAAGTGAGAACTTTCCTTGTTTTATCTAGGAGAAGATGAGATAATACAGATCCAAAGTGAGTGACCTAGCAAGAAAAAGTAGTCAATTACAGAAACCTTTACAAGGAATAAAAAGCCAAAATTCCTTATTCTGAAATTGTCAAAGAACAAAGCTGTCTTTATTTATTTTTTTACAGGTGATCATGTTTCACATTCACATACATGAGTAAAAGGAGAGCATTTGTGTTTGCATTAAGAAGGCAGTTTTCCTTGTTAGCTTATTTTATCCTAATCATGATGACATAAGAAATGGGGGGTGGATTGAAGGGGGGGAGGAAGAATCATGGTCTAGCAGTGTTTGCTTTTAAAGTAATTAGAAATGAAATATTTTTCCAGAAATTCAAAATATGTGTTCCCCATCCAGATTTCAAGCTCTCTAAGACTAATTTTGCCTTAGAATTTTATTTCATACTCAGCAGGCATGTATTGACTGTCACGTGACTGGTGATGTCGAGTAACTAAAGGAGGGTTGCAGGAGTGAAGTTGATGTTGTATAAGCAGAAAGGTTGATGTCAATTCCTGGGGGGTGAAAATGTTTCTCAAGTCTTTCTTTTTAACCAATTTTAAATAAAAGCAATATATGTCCATGGTTAATTTTTTCTAGCCCCAAATCTTATTTATTAGGCAATCCAAAATCATACCTACAAACAGAGCCACCAAAACAAAAGACAACTTAGTGAACTAAACACAATGAAAGTTGCTTTTTACTCATTCATTTTGCCACCTGCTTCTGTTATGCGTCCAACAAAGAAGTAGCAACCCAGAATTTTGAGAAAATGTTGTGTAGTTAAAACAAATCAAGGAAATAACTGTCCAGTGAGATAAATATTTTTTGTTTTATTTTTAGCAGCAAAACACCAGAATCCCAAGGTTGACTGCCACTGCACTAAGAAAATTTTTATATTTGCATTTTCTCAAATAAAATCATGACTAAGGAGGATGCTCCCATTCCTCACCACACCTCCAATGTCTTATCCTACCTTGTTCCGGTGTACAAACCAAATGTCATATCCCCATTATCTTCTAATTCTTGACTACTAGAGGTTCAGTATCTGGATGCAAATGATACTGGTGTGAAAGACGTATATAGAACTGAGAATTCTGCAGGCGTGCGTGTACTTGGTTCATAGCATGTGTGTTCCCCAAGCCCTTGTCTTTTCTATAGTACTGCCCTGAAACACGCCTATGTCACCTCTCCCCTGCCTTCTGTTGTTGTGGCAACAGTGCCTATCTGGATGAACTTGGTGGCTGTTCATGGAGATTTCAGGTTACAACTGTGTCTCATTTGAAACTATGCTTTACTATTTCTGTCAACTTGATTTCTTTGGTTCCTTTTAGTTTTCTTTTTACCTTATCATGAACGTATCTACTTGAGTCTCTTAAACAGTTGTTATCAAGTCAGTAAGATAACTAACATAGGTGGTAAACTGGTGTCATTCGCAATAAATGATTAAAGTATGATTATCAATCATGGAGGAGACTCATCCTTCCATGAAGTTTCCCTTATTCTTTTATTTCAGAACTCTCTTGCTCTGATAAATACGCTTTTGGCAGCCCCAAATCAGGAAGTAGGAATCATAGCCCTTCTAGGCTCTGAGACTGAAAGGAAGGCTGATAAGGGAGACATACAACTGGTCAATTGTCACATTGTATGAGGACAGGAAGTCCATATTTAATAGGTGAGATTGTTAAACTCAATTGGTGCACACATTTAGAGGATGTGTTAGCTGACAAAGTGTAATAGTGCTATATTGGAAAGATTTGAAATTATATGTTGCCACAGTAACTTCTAAAGCGTATGTCTTAAAAAAGGAAACAGGTTTTATTCTGTTGTGTCATAAGCAGAATTATGGATTTCAGCAGAGTTGCAGTTGTTCTTAATGGTTTGCGAACAAATTTCCTTTGAAGCATATTTTCGTCTCTGTTGGTCCACATCAGTAAAATAATAGTAAACACTATCAGGCTCTTAACGTGCTTAGCAGTATGTTGAACATTCTAAAATACTATTTCATTAATCAGAAATAGTCCTGAGAGGTAAGTAATGTCCATTTTGTGAAACCATTTTCTATCTAACATGCCGTCATGAGTGCTGAGCCCCCTTTGGGGAAATTATACTCTTGGGGAAAGATGAATACCAAAATGTACTTTCCCGGAACTCCCTCTGCCACCATCACCTCCAACCTCAAAAAATGGCACAAACCCTGAGCAAAGTTGTAAAGGTGAAGTTTGTCTTTGGTATCCCTACTTGTATCCAATCACCAAACCTCCCTACCCACAGAACGAAGAGGTAGCTCCCTTATTTAATGTCAAGGTTCTTTTGCTAAAGCTTTAATCTGTATTGTACGTCAAGTATCCAAGTAGGTGTATAACTTTGTAGTGGACCCTATAAAAAAATCTCTGAATGACTTAAGGATCCCAGAGGCAAGTGATAAAGGGACCCATGTGGAATGGGTGAGGAGCTAACAGGGCTAATGTTCAGTTGTGTACACAAGATCAAAATGATGCAAACAACCCAATTATTACCTTATTTGCAGCATACCTTTCCACTTTGAATCTTTCCTGAACACATTTCTTTAAAATAGTCCTGTGAAAGTAGCAGTGGAAACCACATTAGTGAATTACATGTTAAAGGTGTGAAGTGACAATCATTTACCTCTCCACTTTTGCAAGCTTTCCTCAATAAAGATAAGTAGGGAGTAGGAGCAAAATGGGGTTAAATGATTCACGTTAGTAATGGAGGCCCGGTAACTCCTGGCTGGACTGGAAAACCTAGCTAAGAGCTGAGGTTAAAGAGAGCTCCCTGTGCTTTTCTTCAGTTAAGGGTGACAGGCCACCAGTAGGCAGTTTGAACTAACTTACCGTTTGCAGATAAAAAATCTGGAACAGCTGGACTTTCCAGAGGCAGACAGCCTAGCATGTTTACTGCCTAAAGTGTGAGCATAGGGGCTCAAGAACAAAGCAAACACAGGACAGGAAAGGAATGAATAGAGCTTTGTCAAAGCTATTTGATACACTATTATGGAATCTTTATTAGTTGAGTGGAAATAGAAAAGATGGGCTTTGGAAAAAGCAAATGACTGAATGATAAACTACCAAAGGAACAGCCCCTTAAGTCAGCCTACTGCCAGTCCCTCCAGGTCACCCATGCCTTCCTCCCCTGGGGAGTGCATGCTCCCCAGGACACAGCTTAGACAATAGTGAGCATTCACTCAGCCAAATGCTCAAAATACTTTTGTCAAATGTGAATCTCCAAAGAGATACCGGTATAGAATGAAACTGCTGATTGCACTTCAGAGATACGTAATCTTTGATCAGTGATTCTGAAGGGGAGACTGAAGATTTTATAGAGAAGAAATACTTATAAAATACATGTAAAGGACTGTATCTAGGGTGTGTAAAGATCTATAGACACTCAGTAATAACAAAACTAACAAGCCAGTTTGAAAATGGGCAATAAGTATAAACATACACCTTCCCAAAAAGATACGGTGATCAAATCATGAAAAACTACTCAACAACATTGGTTATTAGGAAAATGGAAATTAACTACAAGATGTCATATATCTATCTGATGGCTAAAATTTTAGAAACCTGACAGTACCAAGTGTTGATGAGCATGCATAGCCTTCAGAACTCTTACACATTGCTCATGAGACATTACTCATAGGAATGCAAAATTACACAGGCTGAAAGCAGTTTGGTGGTTTTTGTAATTATGACCCAGCAATTCCTCTTCTAGGTATTTGCCCAGAAGAAATGACAATAATATGGGCACACAAAAATCTGTATACACAAGTGTTTGTAGCAGCTTCAATTGCCATAAACAGAGAACCACTCAAATACCCACCAACTCATAGCTAGGTAAAGCAAACTGGTATATTTGCAGTGGACTGCAGCACAGCAGTGAAGACAAGGGACCTTGTGATACTGCCGTTTGGACTGAATCGCCATTCATTATGCCAAGTGAAAGAAGTCAGACTCATAGGGCTGCAGACTGTGTGCTTCCACTTATGTAGTAGTCTGGAAAAGACAGAAGTGTGGGGATAAAAATACAGGTCAGTATTTTCCTGAGGTTGAGGTTCCATGGAGGGTTGGCTACAACAAAACACAAGGGGACTTTAGAGGGTGATGGGATTCCTGATGTGTAGATTCAGTTTTAACCACATGTAACCATGTGGCTACATGACTGTATGTTGGTTAAAACAAGCTATATGTCTTAAAAGGTGAATTTCGGGGCCTCCCCGGTGGCACAGCGGTTGAGCGCTGGGTTGCGAAGCTGCCCGTGGCCTCTGCGGCACCGTTTCGATCCCCGGCTGCTCCCCGGCTATGGGAGGAGGATCCCACAAGGTACGCAGACCTCTCCTGCCGCCCGCTGCTCCCCTCAGCAGTGTACTTCGGTCCTTCTGCCTGCTCTGCTCCCCGCTCTGGCTCTGGTGAATTCTCTCACCCTCCCGCGCTTCTGACTGTACCCAGTGCATGTATAAACAAACAAATAAATAAATAAATAATACATGCCCCTTTAAAAAAAAAAAAAAAAAAAAAAAGAAATAAATAAAAGGTGAATTTCACTGTATATAAGGTATACCTCAATAAACCCAACATTCAACATTTTAGTAGGTTGAAAATTGGAAATATCCATTAACAGGGGAAGATTAAATAAACTGTAAATACGTCAGTATCATGAAATAGTCTGCAACAATTAAAAAGAATGAGGTATATGAATGTATACTGACACAGGAAGAATTCCTTATTCTTGAGTATAAAAAAAAATAAGTAAAAAATAAGTTTTGAAGCATTAATAAAAAGTCCCGTTTATATATTAGATATAAAAACAAAACAAATATCTCTTTCTACATGAGCACATGTGCGTAAACCTGCTGGGGAAAGTCAGGGAACACCTCCAGCTCTTCAACAGCGCTCTAGGGAATTTCTCCATGTGCATATTTTAACAATGATTATAATGTTTTAAAGTGATTTAAATATTTGAATTTTTTTGCGTGTCAATGTTTGAGTATATTAATAGTAAGAGTCTACATATGTTTATATGTGTACATGTATGTGTATGTCTATAATCGAGTCCATAGGGAGAAGTATGCCTTCCATGAAGTAATCTCCCTAAGGGCCACTCCAGAAATACATAATACACCCACTGGGTGCTAGGGTTAGAGAATATCTGAAGTCAGGCCTTCAAGGAAGAATCTTTCCCTAGAGGACTAAAGATGCGAGGAAAGGATAGACTGCACTAATCACACAGCTTCACCCTGCTGTGTCCTAACACCACCCTACATGCTGAGACCCAGGCCTCACCCTGCACTGTGCAGACAGAAGTCCGCACATTACTCCTGTAAGAGAAATAGGTAAGAAGCCAGTTGGGCTGGTTTAGAATGTTAGAGTCCAGCTCTGTTGCCTTGACAAATTCTCGTAGAATTAATAGAAATTCATCCTCTGAAAAGGAAAAATATATACAGTGATGAAGGCCCTTGAATTAAGTCCATTGAAATAGGTCCACCAAAAAGCCAACAAAGGAGTGAGTCATTTGTACATCCGCAATAAATTTAGAGATGAGTGACATTGAGGAAGGAGAAAGCCATGACTGCTTAGATTTGCTAAATGTTTCAGAGAGCAATCTTGAGTTATTTCCTACTGTATAGAGGATATGAGAGATCTGCTGTTCTTAAAGCAGAGAAAATCAAGACAAGTTCTTCTGCCTGTTCTGTTCCACTCTGTCTCTGGTGAATCCTCTCACACACGCACACACACCCCTCTGGTCTGTACCCCAGATCTTGTATGCATAAATAAATAAATCTTAAAAAAAAAAAAAGTAAATACAAGTTCTTGACCCCATCACAGTGAAACTGGAAAAAGCTAAGGCTAGATACTCAAGTCAGCTTGAGCTGAAGCTTTTGCTAATGCTACAAGCCTCCCAACAGCCCCACTCTCCTGTTCTCAGCCTTTGGATAAGGTAACTTTATCCCTGCATGTAGGCAAGGATCTGAGAAGGGAGCAAGTGTGGGTCTCCCCTGCTGTCTGCTGCTGGACTTGGGCCAGCCTTCAGCAAACACAGGCAATTGGACTGGTTTAATTGCAGCTTTTGGAGGCAGTGATTCCATATTACTCACCAAACTTTGTGTCCTCTTAGAAAATAAAACTTAATCACCTTCAGGCAGCATCAACAAGTAAAATCCTTAACAACGTAATACAGTCAGCTCTGAGATCATATTCTGTTAACCACCTACACAAAGATTCGTTTGAAAGCCCACAAACTAGCCTGCAAGTACATTGAAGTGAAAACACCTTTGCATGTGAATGTCTCAAGTTTCGTGCTATTGCAAATGAAAACCAAATAATCAGCTAGAAAAAGACAAAAAAGAAAAACAAGATTTTTTTAAATAAAAGAATCATGGGAGGGCAGGGTTTGTTGCTTTTTTTAAGACCCCATAAAAAAAATTGAGGGTGTCAGTCAAGGCCAGGGCATTACATGTGCTCAAAAAGAACATGGGAAGAAGACAGAAAGTAAGCTCTGGTTTCATGTTCTCCATCATATCTAAGACATTTGCCACGTGTTTTTAAACAGTTGCTATTATTAGCAATCTGGAATGGAGACACTTGGAGCCCAGGGAAAGTGCTAGAATGGAGATAGTATCTGGTGGAAGGTTGGCAAAGATGATCTCTAATGTCCTTCCCACTTTTTCAATTCTGTAATTCTCAACTGTGGGCCTGGTGGGGCTCATACCCATCCCAAGCCTGAAGAGGGACTTGCTTTATTATTCATCTCACTCGGAGCTTCAGCCCATGGCACAGGCCCAGCTACAA